AAAATATTTTGAATCGAATGAAAATTTTAAAACAGCATATCAAAGTGCATGAGATGCAGCTAAAGCTATGCTTAAAGGAAAATTCATAAATCTAAATGCCCATATGACAAAAGATGAAAAGCCCAAATCAATATCCTAAGCTTCCCAGTTATGAAACAAGGAAAAAAAGGCACTTAAATCCAAAGAAAACATAAAAAAATGAAATAATAAAGGATTACAGTAGAAATCAATAAAATACAAAACAGAAAATTTATAGAGAAAACCGATGAAACCAAAAGTTGGCTCTATATAAAGATCAATAAAATTGAAAAGTCTTTAGTTAGCTCAACCAAGGGAAAAAACAAAAGAAAGAAGACAGAAATTACCAAAATCAAGAAGGAGAGCCAGGCACAGTGGCGTGCACCTGTGGTCCCAGCTACTCAGGAGGCTGAGGCGGGAAAATCGCTGGAGCCCAGGAGTTTGTGGCCAGCCTGGGCAACATAATGAGACCCCATAAAGCATAAAAGAGGGACACATCACCACTGACACTTTCTGGCAACACAGAAATAAATAAATTAAATCATAGTGCAGAAATGTTTCTTTCTTACTTCAAAGGGCAGCTCAGTTAATTCTAGATTCCCAGAACAATCCAGTCTCTCTAGATTTTCACAATCTCCCAGTTCTGGAGGAATGCTCGTCAGATGGTTGAAACTTACATTGAGTTCTCTAAGGTTCTTCAAACAACCTGTCATCAGAAAAAGTTAACAGCCATTGAGTAGGTCTTTTAAGAACAAAAACAAAAACTAAGAGGTAAAACATATTAATAAGGATGGGGAAGTCACTAACTATATTTTGTGTTTGTTTTTTAAGCATTCTTTATTAAATGGCTGCTCATCTTTTATCCTAAGCATTTTGGTCCTTAATCATAGCTATCTTTCAATCTATCTATTTATTTATTGCTTACTCTGTAATTGTTTAATCCTTTGTGAAACTATAGGCAAAGTGAGTGTAGGGGATTTGCCCTCCCTGTACCTTGGGGCAGGCCCAGCACCCATAAGACTGTAAACTCCTTTGAAATTACATGGTGAATTAAGTAACAAGCAGTCACTTGGAAGAGTGGCACAGCTTCTACGAAATACAGTGACCAGCAAAACAGTGGGCTCTAATGAGAAGTGAGCTATGTATTAAAATATGCATAAAGCTCTATATATGTGATAAATGACTCAAAGAAGCAAATTGTGTATAGATTACATGTAATTCACCATGTATCTTTGGCTTTATATTTGCATTGATTTAATTATGATATAACATGCTTCCTGAAAAATACACTAGAAGTCCCTTTCATAGGCAGAATCACGTGTAGAACCATGTGTTCTACAGAGCCACAGCCCCATCCCTTAGGAGCCTCTGCCTTCCAGATGAAGCCAGGGGAGGGGCAGTGGGGACATGTGGCATTCCTCACGGTACTTTCTTAAACCAAGCCACGTCCAAGGCAGGGGGACATAACCTCAGGGATCCAGTGTGATCGTCCAGGCCCAGAGCAGAACGCAGGCCAGGCAGGGCAGGGTACAGGTCTGCGGACACAAACGTTCTGGGGAAGATGACAAGAGAGGAGTCTTGGCTTGCCAAGCTTTGGAATAGGGATGTGGAACTGCATCTGAGGCTCCTTCTTCCCCACCAGGTTGCCCTGCCCAGATGCGGCTGCCCACCCACCCCAGGCAAGCCTTCCTCGTCAGCACCCCAGGCTTGGCACGCACCCTCGGCCAAACCCTACAGAGCCAGACCTCACGCCCTGAGTCCCAAGGAAGAAAAAAGTTCTCCCATCTGGAAAAGAAACAAGTTCATAAAGCAATTGACAAAGAATCAGAAAACATACTCCCCAGGTCCAGCCTTTGTGATCGACAGACCTAGTTTTGTGTCTGGTTTGTCACTTACTGGCCATGTCTTACTGACATAATATTTAACCTCTCTAAGCCCGGTTTCTTCACTGTAAAATGTGTCCATCTGTAAGGCAGCTCAGATAATTAAATGCAATAACAGATGTCACGTACTTGGCTTAACGCCCAGCTCTCATCAGCTACCATCCACTCTGCTCTGGGAGAGTAAACAGGGTGCTATTCACATCGTGGCCCCTTTGGTGTCAGCCAAGTGGGGATAAACTTTGACCCTGCTGACATGCAAGAACTGTGGTGACAAGTGTGGCTTAATGGTTGAATGTGTCAAGTGCCTGGAGGGCTCTGGAAGAAAACAAGCATGACTGTCTGAGTTTGAGGTGCTGCAGGGCTCCTGGCACCCACAGCAGGAGGCCCGAGCCTTCAGGGAAAGCTGGAGAGAGGGGGGCTGATGGAGAGCAGGCGGAGCACCCCAGATGATGAGCAGAGAGCACCGCAGATGATGAGCGGGGAGCACAAAGGCTGGCCAGTGAGCAGAGGACCTTGGACAAGACCTTGAATGAGGCAACCAGCTGCAGAACAAAAAAGTCGAACTCTTTCAGCTGGAAGGAGCAAAGAGGAAAACACCCCAGGGCCGGGGCAACTGGCAGGAAGGGGGCAGGGAGCACTCAGTGGCACCCATGGGTTTAGCCAAACTGCCTATCCAGCGCTGGCGGGGCTGTGGCTGAGGGGCACGGGGGTTGGGGGATGGACCCAGGTCTAGGAGTTAGGTCTGGCATGAGGCTGACTGGTGTCTTTGCTGCTGCTCGGTGTCCTGGAGGACGACAATGCTCAGGACCAGCTGAGCAGGAGACACCCAGCCACTAAGAGGGGTCCACAGAAGACAAGGGCAGGAGAGAGGGGAGGAGGAGGACAGTGCACATCTAGGGGGCGCCCTGGGTGCCAGGTGCTGGGCTGGGCTCCCCCGCACTGTATTTCATTTGATCCCTACAGCCCACGGCTTACTAATGCTATAATCGTGCTGGTCAATCTGGGAGGATTATTTTGTTAACACTTATTATATTCTTTGGTATTTTGAATACGTCCATTTTAAAAATAAAATAAAAATATAAACACACCAATTTATCATCTAAAAATAAAATCTGCCCATACATTCAGTTTTGAAATTTGTGCTGCATTTCCCTACTCTGTAGTTGCCTTTAGAAATCCTGATAAACATCTAATATTTGCTTTTATAAAATACAAAAGACAAACAAAATGTATTAATAAAAATAAAAGGATTTGCTCTGTAAAATTTGGATTCAGTCAAAAGGCCACACTTAAGGACCTAGAAGGCCATATGTGGCCTTAAGATCACAGGTTCCCCACTCCTGGACTAAGTCATCTAATGTCACCGGGACCTGCTCTCTCCAATCTGTAAAATGAAGCGGCAGGAGGTAAATTACCCCTAACAAGTCAAAGATGGTACTTCTCAGTTGTAAAACTTCTAAGGTCCTTCCTACGTTTCCAGAAACTGGGCAAGGAAACAGAAGTACTTGTTGGGTCTAGAATTCGAATTTACAAGCTAATAAGTTTGCCTGTTGCTGTTTCATGGATATTGGCAGAAGACACGAGACTCCTGGCCAGAGAGGGCATATTTACGTCAGTTTCCCTTACGAAAGAGTCCACCAAGCATGACGAGATGGCCTAGACGGACGCTATGCACACACTGCATCACAGCAAAGAACAGTGAGCTTGGGGAACGTACTGCTCTTACAGCAAGTGGGGAGTGAGTCTGCTCTTTATCTGGGAAAGATGTCACCTCACCCCTCCAGGTAATCAGTTGCATAAACAACCCTGAGATTGGCCTGGACAAAAGGGTGGCCAGGTCTTTGTAGTCCAGACACACTTGGCAAGACATGTATGAACAGCAGAGGCCCAACAAGCCACCCTTTGTCCCACATCATCTTGGCTTCTGGTAAATTCTCACATAAGTGTGCCACTCCACTGGTCCTAGGGCATGTGTTGTCAGAGTGGAGCTCTGTGCAGCCCCCAGACCAGACCTCTGCTCCTTGAGCCCCAGGAGAAAGAAGCAATAATGATCACTGCAGTCTTCATTTTCAGATGATGCAACTGAATACTTTTGATCTATCAAAAAGACATAAATAAGCTAAGCCTGACGTATCAGTGGACTGATATAGAAGAACAATATATTTTATTCTGTTTATAATAATCATATTATTGCATGTTTATATTTCTAAAGCTAAAAAGAAATAAACAAAGAGTTCCTAAACAAAGTATTGCACACTCATGAAACTTCTAGTTTCTGAGCAATGGGCAAACATCTGTGTGTGCTGAATTATGCAGGTGAGATCATGGCCTTGCTGCCCAAAGGGGACGCTGTGAACAAGCAGCTCCAGGGACCCTCAAAACAGCCCTGGACAGAGAGCCATGGGGCAGGTGGAAGAGGAAACATGGTGTCTGCACAGTGTCACCCGTCAAACAGCTGCCTGCTTACCACACACAAGGCGCCTGAAGATCCCTACTAAGTAACCTACCAATTTCAGCTGGAAGATGCGAGATTTGGTTTTTTGGCAGATCCAGAATTCTCATTGCTTGAAACAGCTCAATATATGTAGGAATGATTTGAATCAGCGTATCGCTTATGTGCCATTCTCTCAGGTGTGTCTGCTCCTTCAACGAATCCGGGAGCTCCTAAAATAAAATGAATGACATCAATCAGAACTAACCCCTCGGGGTGCACAAAACCACGTAAAACCACGTATTTATTTAAAAACGAGAAGCGAGAGAGCAGACACGAGCGCATTAGATATAACCACCAGCGCTCCAGCCATTTTAAAAAGAAACCGAAGACACTGCTGCTGCATTCATTTCACAGCAGATCAGCCCGATTTCAAAGCTGCCATGAATTCATATTATTAAAATCAAATCCTAATGAACACAACCAGGCTCACATTCACGGCCACAAAACCTAGTATTTATTTACAACACACCAATTTAACATCTTCTAAAAACAAAATCTGTCCATACATTCAATTTTGAAATTTGTGCTACATTTCCCTTACTCTGTAGTTGCTTTTAGACATCCTTGACAAACATCTAATATTTGCTGTGCCCAATTTCCAGATGTTCTTATGAGACCATGATAAGGAAAGAGCACCAGAAAGACGGTCAGTGGGGAGACCCGAGTTCCGGCCCCGGCCCCAGCATCTTCCAGGCATGCCACTCCCTGAGCCTTCGCTTCCCAAGGGATGGTGAGGAACTCAGCAGTCCCCGAGGCCTCACCTGCTCTGGGATACATTTGTAACGGTGGTGAGAAGTTTTAAAGACTTTAGGGGGGCTACTTGTCTGGTTGAAGACATCCAATTCGCCAAGTGTCACGGAGCCCCAACCGCAGGAGTGGCATGCTCAGCACTGAAGGGTAGGACACAGACGAGGTGTGCAGGCCCCCTGACCGCAGAAGCCAACCACGGAGCACCGTCAGCAAGGTGACCGGAGCATCAGGATGGGCTAGAAAACCCCATGGGGGTGAAGGGCGGGTGTGGAGGGAGCAATCAGAACCCTCAGTGACACTCTGTTTACTACTCATACTTGTCATCTGCTCTATGATCACCGCTGTTGGGTGTGGGGCAGCTTTTAACTTACCAGAGTACTTTCTCTCCAGTACTAGCCCACACGACCCTGCAATATGCAAAGTGGACATTACTAAGGCACATTTCAAAGAGGAAAACTGAAACCCAAAGATGTTTAAATGAATCACAGTAAGGACTGGCCACGTACTTTGCAGGGCCCAGTACGAAATGAAAATGCAAGCACCTTGTTAAAAATTAAGAATTTCAAGATGATGACCCCAGAGCATTAAACCAAGCACGGGGGCCTGTGCTGCTGATTCTACAGCTGACCGCCCGGTTACCACCTGCCCCCTGCACTCAGCCCCGGCAATCGTCCCCACCCTTCTGATCTGAATGGACCCACGAACAGCAGACGTCTGCCCCTGGAGCTGCGACAAAATGAAGAGTTGGCTCATCAGGGGACAGACTATAGGCTCACAAGCACACTCTCCTCGGGCAAGCTTCCATGAACTGACTTCCTCCTAAATAACTTTTCTAATTCCACTCTGCCAATACTGGTGCGCTTGAAAGATGATTATACTTTCTAAACTGTGTTCATGACTATTTTTGATAACATGAGAAAAGTATTAGGGCATCATATTAAATAGAAATAAAAGGAATAGGGTAAAAATGACAGATTGAACATACACATATACTTTTGCTCCTCTCCAAATTCTGTTAAAGCCGACAGCACAGGAACTTTTTAGATGGCATACACCGTGCAAAAGAATGAAAAGAAAGGAAAGGAGACATGAGCAGCAAAATGCTGGGAGCTGGAAAGCTGGAAGACAGTAACTCAGCCTTTGGGTCTGCTCAGTCTTGGTCCAGGAGAGGAAACGACCGAGATACAACCTGGAATTCTCCCCAGAAGCCCCCAAGGGCTCAGGTAGTGGAAGAGCCAGGAACGCCTGGAAGTGAGAGCTGAAGGCGGCGCCCAAAGAATGGGGTCAGGTTCCAAGTCCAAGGACCAAAACTTTGACCCCCATCCGTGGCACAGATCAGCTGCCTCTGCCCCCACTCTTAGGAGACCGAGGCCTATTCATTGGGGGGGTGAAACAGAGTCCCTGGATTGGGGTCCCGCAGACAGAGCTGGGGCAGGGGAGGTGGCAGTCAGATGATGAATGCTGAGATTTTCTCTGTCTCAGGAGCTGAGAGGCTCCTTCTCTGTGGACTCTCACCAGCTCCAGACAAAGCACCAACATGCAGAGGGAGGGGGAGGCACCAGTGAGGGGCGGGCTCTGCAGTGACACCTCAAAGACTAAGTGTACCCAACACACACTCAGAGCTCCTTACTGCTCTGGAAAACCAAGTGTCTCCAGACTTTCAAGAAAATCCAGGCGTGCCTTTCTTCTTGTCCCAGCATAGGTAGTATCTGTGTACCTACTGATCACAATGGCAGAATGCAGGAGAAAGAATATCTAAGAGGTTTTGCAGCAATAATCTCTCAGTTTGGAAGGACCATATGCCTAACAGAATATTCACTCATTTAATCCTCACAACAGGCTTCAAAGAGGGTCAGAGGAAGCATCAGCATCATTTTACTGATGAGGACGACAAAACACATGGAAGTAAACTGCCGCGGGTCACATGACTAAGAAAGACCAGCCCCAGGATCATCGCAAATATTTACTCTCCCAGTCCAAATGCTTTCAGCCACAAAGTGAGAGGGTAAAAGAGATGGAGGGCAGGTCCCAGAGAACCCTGTCCCGATAAAAAGGGCAGTAGCCTGAGTTTCTCCGCCTGGGGCAGCTTCTCCAAACGCGCAGACTTAACCTGCACGCCCCGGGCTCCTTCAACCAGAAACTGTCCGCTCACAGGCGACCCCGGGAGACACCTCCCCAAGCAAAGCAGCGAGTGGGGCAGCGGGAGCCAGGACACCACCTGTGAAGTCTCGAAGAAAGAAAGAGGGGGCGTCTTGGCCACCGCCTCAGAATCTCTGGACGGGAAAGCCGGGTAAAGTGTTGCTGAAATTCCTTTGCCAACCCAGGGCGCTGCGGCACTGCGGCAAGTCAGTGCGTCACTGCCCGCTGGGGGGCGCCAGACGAATGAAACGCTCAGTCGTTTAAACTTTCAAAAAGGCAAAGAGTTATTTTAAATGCTGGGGGAAAAACAACAAAATGAAGCATCTTTAAAGGCTGTGCCATCCTGGGGAGGACCGCGGGGCCCCCGCTTGGCCTGGGAAGGACCCAAGTGGATCCCACCGCTGTCACCAGGACTACTCCGAGCTTCATGGAGGAAGAGACAGGAGAACCTGGTTCAGAGCAGGCAGTCAGTCGGCTCCTCCCCGCCCTCTGGAAAGCTCTCCAAAGGCAAGCGCACTCATTTGGCCCAGGCCGACGCCCTGAGCTCAGCTGAGCAGCAGCCATCAGCCACAGCGAGGCATCGAGGCATGAGCGACATTTGTTGCAGACAGAGAAACACATCGACTCACCTTCCAGTGATCCCCGGAAAGCTCAAACACAAACCTACTGCTCCGTTTTCCGCTGTCCCTGGAAAGCAAACTCTGTCTTGTGAGAGTGCTCTTTTCGATCTTTTCCAGAAGCCGCACGCTGGTGTCTATGAAGCCATTCTTGCAGTACTCTGCCTGGGGGATGCCTTTCCTCCTGCACTCGGCCACGAAGTTCCACTCCTCCTTTATCCTGAAACCGGCAGCAGAGGCCACAGTTACTCTCCCAGGGAATGGCCATCACCTTTGTGGAGAAGCTAGTCAGGCCCCCAGGGGCAGGCAACCTCCTCCTACTACTGGAGCCCGTTTCCCTGCACCAGCGGCTTAAGCACTCCCCTCCTCTCTCCTCCCTGTGGGGAGGGTGGGGGGCAGGTAGGGGAAACCCTAAACCCTTCTGTGGATTTTTAATAACTTTGACTAGAAAAGTAGAGGAGGTGAGTTAGATGGAATTTCTGGCCCAAATTTCTACCAAAATTACCTATGCATTTAGTTGCAATCGCTTTTGAAGTTATATTGTACCAACCTAAGCTTTTAAAAAGTGCAGGGCCCCAGAAATTTGCTGATCTTTCAAGTGCCTTTGAATAGAAACCCAGAGGAGCCCCAGTTCGTAAATCACCTGACTTTGGACCGTCATCCATCAGCCACCTTGGGAAATTTCACGCCTATAAATGAACCAAGGTCCAGCCAGATACTGGAGCTGGCTCAGGACTCAGCCTCCCACAAACCCTCAGTACGCCTTGTCGCTAATTTCCTGACCTATCCTGTTATAGCTTTTCACACTTGCAGCTTATCCTCCCAGCTTGACCCTAAACTGCACGATGACAATGGGCATGGCTGGCTGCCCTGAGATGCCCACACAGCTGTTAAACAGCTCTCTGCACCTGGTGGGCTTTTCTCTATTTAGGGATTTGTTTTCTGTTTGATGACTTTAATATATTCTATGTGGTGCAAAACCAAGATTCTTTGTGGTTTTTCTTCAAAACCATCAACATAGATATTGTCCACCTCAAAATAAGGTAGCCCACATTTGATAGGGACTTCAACGCATTCCACACGCTGGAAGGCATTCCAGACCCTACTAGACCTAGTTGGAACTTGGTGGCAGTCAGGATCCAGGGGTTCTGGGGGCTGTTTTTAGAAACAGGCCACAGATGCGGACCTGATCTCTACATGGCCTAAGGCAGTACAAATGCTAAATAAGTGTGAAATAAACCCTGTGGTCCAGGGTCAATCCTGGAATGGAAACCCCTAGCTGTTACCTGAAGGAAGGGTGGACCAGGTCTCAGTCAGGCTGTGGGGCTCAGGCCAGCGGGCCAGTGGGGTGCAAGTGGCTAAGGAGGGGTCTGAAAGTTTATTGTGTCTGGGACAAGAACAGTTGTGAAGAGCGAGCATGTGGGAAGTCCTGGTCTGGACTCCCAGGCACTGTAAAGTGTTAAGGAGAAGTTTAAGACTTTGAAAGAAGCAAAAGAGACTGCTGGATATGGTTTTCCTGAATGCTGGAGCCTTTAGGGAACTATCCGATCCTATAGGAATATGCCCCTTTGTCTTTTTTTTTTTTCTGAGACACAGTCTCACTGCGTCGCCCGGGCTAGAGTGCCGTGGCGTCAGCCTAGCTCACAGCAACCTCAAACTCCTGGGCTCAAGCGATCCTTCCACCTCAGCCTCTCGAGTAGCTGGGACTACAGGCATGCGCCACCATGCCCGGCTAATTTTTTTTCTATATATTTTTAGCTGTCTGATTAATTTCTTTCTATTTTTGGTAGAGACAGGGTCTCGCTCTTGCTCAGGCTGGTC